TGACCTACTTAGGATTCATGTCTCAGCTAGCTCCTCATAGAGCCCTCCCTCACCCTCGAATTTAAGTAATACCCCTATTTTCCTCCAACAGATTTTTTCTTCCTGGTGAAGACTGATCGTTGATTACCCAAATCCCTATCATGTGTGGCTGAATATAGCTGTGTATCTTAGCAGCTCCTTGCAAGACAACATTCCCCTTCTTCACACCTAGATGTGAGTCTGAGACTGTGTTTTGGCCAATAGATGTGAAAGGATGTCACACACACACCTACTAGGACTTCCCTTGAGGGCCAGGGGCTTATACTTTACATGCCCCATGTGCTGTGCATGGTGACACTCAGTCACCCTGGACCAGATCTGAAATCTGTGCCTTATATCGATGGTGGGGCAACATCATCAGCCTACCTGTGGCCTGTTGTACAAAAACGTACATACATACATATATATATGTATATACAAATATATACACACATGGGAATATATGTAAATTATATAACATATAATACATAGTGTGTATAATATATGTTTGCACATATATAATATATATAATACACACATATATTAAAATATATACATTAAAATATCTGTTTAATTACTGGATTGTGAAATTTCTTTGGATGAGTTTTAAAAAGATATAAACAAAGTTTGCTAGTAGCACTTCGGGGAGGCACAGTCTAATGTAATGTTATACAGCTCTGAGGCAAGGAAACTAGACAATCAGATATTTTCAAAAATTATTTTGGTTGCAAAATGGAAAATCCAATGACTTAAGAGAACACCAAGGCAGGAAAATGGTGCTAAGCCCAGAGGAGAGGTGATCTCACATATCTGCGCAGCACAGATGGAGAGGAGAGGGCAGACTCCAGAGACACTGCAAGAGGCAGTTACGGGAGTTGGACAGTAGACTAGGTACAGCAGACAGGGTCATAGCCCCCTACTAGACTCGTGTCCAAACTCCAAAGGGGATTCTACAGGTGTGATTAAGCCAAGGCTCTCAAAAGGAAATACACCTAGATTGTTGAACCCATTGTAGTGGTGAGGGTCAGAGAAAAGGTGACGTGAAGACTGAAGCAGAGGTGAGAGTGGTACACGTTGAAGACCAAGCTGCACTGCAAGCAGTCCCTGGATGCAGGCAAACACAACCCAACAGGTTCTCCTCCAGAGGTTATGGATGGAATGCAGCCCCACAGGTACCTCGAGGTTAGCTCAACAAAACCCACTTTAGACTTCTGATTTCTAGGATTGTAAGGTATGAAATATGTGTTGCTTTCCTCCACCCATTTTATGGTGCCTTGTCCTAACAACAATAGGAAGCAGATGCAGTAAATGGGAAAGGGAAAGGAACAATGAACAGAAAGGTTTGTATAGATGAGTGGATGGCAATTTAAGAACCTAGGAGAGTGAGCAATGGAGAGGCAGCAGCCGATGGGTTTTAGGAAGCTGGGATTTCCATGGCATATCCTACTCAACAACTGGCCATACAGATCTGACACTCAGGTAAGAAGTGGTCCCGGAGAGATGGACTTTGAGAAATTCTCAAATATTGTGTGACTGAAGGCAAGGGAATGAGCACATTTACAGAAAAAGAAAGGAAAAAAAAGCTTTTAACAAAATCCAAAGAAAAATGAAAATCCAAGCATATCAAGGGAATGGCAAGAGAGAAGAGAAAGACCAAACGCAAGTCAAAAGGAAGGGAACTTTAAATGAGGGGACGTGGGTAGCATTCAGTGTTGCTGTCAGGTGGAGAAAGAGGTGGCGGAGACTATCTGCATATCAAATCCACAACCACCCAGACGTGGATATCCAGCATGCAAATAAGCAAGAGGGAGGAGAGGTTATACCCAGATACTGGAAGTCAGACTAGGTCCCAATATAAATTGTATCATTCAATTTGAGTTATCCTGGCCAAACTGTCTCACTTTTATATGCACCAATATTCTCATTTGTAAAATGGAATAATAACAGTGTGTACGTGGAGGTGATTGCGGCAAGTATTATATGAATAAATGCTTTGGATGTACATTGAGCCACACCCAGCATATGGTAGGTACTCCAAGTCAGATGTTTTTGCTATTTTTATTAACCCCACTTTAAAATGTTTGTTTCTTTCCTTAAGAAAAATCAGGCTTGTCAAAGCGAATAAGAAACATGTAAGGAAAATAGGTGAAACTGAAATGTAAACAAGCAGCTTGGGAGACAAAAAAGTGCAAATATGAGCTGACTACAGTGAAGGGTTAGAAAAACCAAGCAAGCACTAAATATTCTTTTTCATAATTGTATTTATTACCTGTTTTCATTAATCTTTTTAAAGGGGGTGTGAGGGGAGTGAGCGCTGCCATCTACTGGGTCCTGCCCGATGGCTGGCCCTGGCTGAGACTGGGAGCTAGGGTCTGCATCCAGATCTCCCGTGGAGAGGACATGCACTCAACCACTGGCACCATCATCGGCTTCCTCCCAGGGTGTGCATTAGCTGGGATCTACAGTATAACTGGGGCATGGACCCAGGCACTCCAATAAGGCATGTGGGAATCTTAACTGCTACAGCAAATGCCTGTCCCACTGAATATGCTTGACACAAGTATTCAATGAAGCACTTAAGACACTCCAATCAAGAACTCTTAAAATGGTGACCTGGCAGTGACACTCAACATGGGTTGTATTTGTTCTCTTCCTGGGAAACGCAAATCAGCTTACTATCTGTTGAACTAGAAGCTTGTCTTCTGATATGGAGCAAGTAGGACAGATCTTCCAAAAAGTTCGTGGCACTTCATATGATAAAAAGGAGGGATTTCAAATTTTAACATCAAAATACAGTTATTTTTAATTCTATTGTTCCATAAATGCTTTCAGATGCCTCTCTCATGTACCAGGCATGTTCCTTGTTCAACCTCCACTGTGGTCCTTACAACTGCATCATCAGCAGGGAAGAGAGAGAGGGAGGAAAGAGACAGACAGAAAGAGGAGACAAAGAATGTACATAGATTTTATATAATATGCTACCTGCCAGTACACTCTCCTGTGTTAACCTAGCCTCTTGGCCCCCGCTGCTCATTATGTTTTTAAAATTGCTTTGTTAAGTCATGTGATTTCAACATCTTGGCCTTGTCTTTGAGTTTTTCCACGCAATGACCTGTAAGAGGGCCTGACTTGGAAGCTGATTTCCCACACTGCACCCACTGATTCACTCACAAAGGTAGGCAGGTAGGGGAGGAGTTACAGGTCACCTTTTCTGCATGCCTGTTTGTATCTTCTCCAGAGACAGACTGATTGCTTTTGTATTTGAAAAACTAAGAAAAATTATATACAGCACACAGATAAGTAGGCACAATGTCATACTACACATGGTCAAAAAAATCCTCACACATTAAAAAGGTGTGTGTCTGTCTGGTTAAAACCTTGCCCTAACAAGGCCAACTGAAACAACCTGTTTCCTACACAGACCTGCCTAGTAGATGAAGAACCACCTTCCCTTTATCTGGGTCCTTTCTGCTCTTACCTCATCAGCAGGAGCGACCTGAACCACTCAGATCTGTAGTCCATTCCTATCTTCTCTTTAGAGAACTGTTTCTTTCTTCCTTTTTTTTTTTAATAGCTAGAAAGATAAGACCAATGAAGCCTCTGTCCTAACAGCTATCTATTAGTACTTCAGGGGTATGTTCAGCTCCACCTGCTGCAGCAGGAAGCAGCTGCTTCCAGGCCACACCAGGATGGGTCTTCCTCTGTGCCCTACAGCCACCCTGGAATTTGCCTAGAGAGCCCAGCACTAGGGCCTATACTTGTTATGCTTTTCCTATCAATACTGCAAGCACATTTACCAAGAGGCCGTATGGCTTACGCTTCAAGGACCCATGTAGACTCTGCAAAGGGCCCACCCTGGCAGCTAATTGTTTTGTTCTTCCAAAAGAGGGAATCCAAATTGTGAAGCTTCCAAGACTATGAACTCAGTACGGTTTTATGGGGAAGAGCTGAAAGCCTGGAGAATAGAAGAAGTCAGCCCCTCCCCCCTTTTGTTCCCCTCTTCTCTATGTATTAACTCTGACTAGGTACACTTACTTGTAGCTTCGGTTTTGTCAGCTATAAAAGGAGAATACCGGTACTTATGCACAAAAGATGTGACAAAGCTCCAACAATGTCGCACACGGTGCACATTCACATAGGCCAGCTACCACCATGGCTGTGTTATTGTTGCCAGAAGAGACCATAAACTCCCCTGGAACAGGGATCCGGCACTGAAAGACTTGCACAAGGAACAACCTGTTAACCCACGCCACTCTTCCCACGGTCTCTGAGCGTCTGACTAAAAATACCACTTTAACGCGGCAGTGTGTCTTTCATCCAGCCGGCGTTGCGGCCTCAGCGTACCTGTCGCCAACGAGTCCGCGCCTCACCAGGCTGTCTGCCTCCAGTGCCCGGCCCAGTTCCTCTCTCAGGGTTGTCTGCAGATAGTGTAGTCAACCAGAGACCCAGGATAACGCCGGGCCTGGCTCTGAGAACGCGCTCACGACACGACCGCCAGTCTAACAACCCCGCACCGCCGACACCCGCCCATGCGCCCGGGCTGGCACCGATCGCGTGCCCGGGCATTGGGGTTGGGGGTTTGACCTGGGGCCGGGGTGCGCGCCTGTATGCTGCGGGACGCCACCCGCCGCGGGGTTCTCTACTCCGTGCGCCTGCCCAGCCGACCTGAGGCCCGGGGTCCCGCGGGGCCGCAGGGGTGCGCGCGAGGCCGGGAGGGGGCGGCCGACGCATCCGCCGCCGCAGGAGGCGGAGCGCTGCACCTGGCGGCCGGTCGTCGGCACCCAGCCCAGAAACGGGTCCAGCCGGGGCTGAGCGCGGCGGCGACAGGCAGGCCCTTGGCCGCGTAGCAGGAGGAGGAGAAAAGGTGGCGACAGCGGTTGCCAGGCCCGCGGCTGCAGGTCGCCCCACCCTGCCCGCATCCCTCCGCCGCGCCCTGTCCGGCTCCGCCCGCCGCAGCCCCCAGGAACCGGAGAGCCGGGTCCGAGATGGTGCGCCCCGCCTGGACAGCCGCCGCCCCGGCGCCGCCGCGAGCCGCCGCCCTGCGCCCGGGGAAGAGGGCTCCCCGCGCCGGGCGCAGCTGAGCGCCTCCGCCGCCTTAGGTGAGTCTGGCGGGCTGGCGAGGAGGGGGCGGCCCAGGCAGCTCCGCCCCGGCACCCGCTCTTCCCCCCGCGGGCCCCGTGCACCTGCTGCCGGGGGTGGGGTGGGAGAGAGGGGGCCCCCCGGGGAGGTTTGCTGGAGTGTTTCCGCGGGCCGGCTTCGCTCGCTCGCTCGCCAGTCACGCAGGGCCATCCCCCACGGCTTGGGAGGGGTGGGCGAGGACGGGTGTCATCTTCGTGGGGTGCTGGAGGAGGCTGCCGCGGGCGCTCCTGGCGCGGGCAGCACTTCCGCAAACGTAATTGGAGTCGGGAAAACAAAGGCGCTGCCCAGGGAGCCCTCGCCGGGCGCCGGCAGCCGGTGTTGGGGACGAGGAGTGGGCCCCGAGGGCCAGGCCCTTGCCGGCCGAGCCTCACTGGTGCCCTTGCTGTAAACATCCCCGGGAGAACGCGAGAGACGCGACCAGCCCCGCAGCCGAGGGGACGAGGAGCTGGCCTCCTGTGAGGCAGGAGGAAGACATCGACACCGCCTGTTTCGCCAGGTGACTTCTTGGGAGATTCCAACACCTCGTGCTTCTTTACTTCAACTTGGTCTAAAGGGGTTCCAGCAGTCCCTTGGGGTAGTCACGGGGGCTGCTAGTCCTGGGTCCTAGGGATTTGATTTCTCGGTTGGTTCAGGTGAAAAAAAATTAAAATGCAACCTCTCCCTCGTTTATCCTCGTCCCACGTGGGCAGACAGGTGGATTAATTATTCTCAAGGTCGGCACACGGTGCATCTTGCTTCCCACACCCACTGGAAACATTTCTTTTCATCCCCACATATTGAATAAGCTCCGTATGGAACAGCTGGAACACAAAATTCCTTACCCTACAGACAGTTTAGGAAAAAAGTCTTACAGAGGGGAGGGCCAATCCGGGTGGGTTATCAATAGGCATAGTTGTGTGTCCTGGGGTATGTCCCATCTTGTTCAGCCCCAGTTTGCTCACGTGTGGGAAGGAGATGATTGCGTAGTCTAATGGTTAAACCTTCATCTAGAAGTCAGTGATTCTATAGCCCTCTAGCTTCCTAAGCATAGACGAGTGTGAAGGGCGAGTGACCACATGGCTGAGTAACATGGTGGAGTCCAGGGAGTTTGGGAAGGTCCCTGGTGTTGGCAGTATGTGGTCTCTTCCCCAGTCATGCGCGCTAGCCAGCTGCAGGGGTGCGTTCAGTGAAAGATGTTCCAATGTGTGTTCTTGGGAAGCTTGATTTTTTGATACTTTGCGTTTCTGGTCTTTAGTAGACATGGAGGACAATTTTGCTCATTTCTTGGTAGTTACTGGGCTTTTATTGATCACAAGTTGTATGTAAAATTTAGGGTTGCTTGGGAGACTGCCGTTGTTAAGCCAGTGCAGGATACTCTGGGTGAGGAAAGATTGTGTTTCGGTAATGCCTTAGTGCTGCTTAGCCTGGAGACAGTCATTTATCACTGCAACACTTACTGTGTTTATGCAGAAAGGTATGAAAACATGGAGGCAGATGGAACCTGACGGAGCTGCAAAGCTTCCCGGTGTTTGGCAGGGTGGGTACTGGATCATCCATTCTGCTATATCCAATTTTGGGATTATTAAGAGGCATTTTTTGAGCACTCACTAAATTGAAGACACCATCTGAAAATCTCTCTAAGATCGGTCTTTCTTCTAATAGTGCTCATGATTAAAAAGGGAATGAAGAAAGGTTATAGCATTTACACTAACCGAACAATCAGAAAGAGGTGGAGTTCTGTTTGTTCCTAGGTCTCTGGCTCCAGGAAATTTCCACTTGGTGCCCCTCCCTACTCTGGACCCAGTAAGCTTCCCTGCCCATGCATATGCCTGCCTTCACTTCTTGCCTTTGGATATTTTCATTGCAACATACGTGTCTCACAAATGTTCACACTGATCCACATGGGATATCTGAATATTCATACTGTGTGAAAGCACTGTGCTTACTTGTTTGTTTTTACCATTTTTATATTGAAATGAATTTTAAAAACCACCTGATACTGCCAGTGACACATTTTTTATCAGGCTGGTAGGTCTTCTATTTTCTTTTTCTATTCAGTAAATCTTGAGGAGGCAGTCTTATGGGGAAAGGCAGAAATGCAATAAAAATGTCAGCTGCTGCTTTAATGCATTGGATTGGGGGAAATCTAGATAAATTAAGTGAAAAGTGTGAGCTGCAGACAAGATTTACCTACAGAATTCAGGCCTGCATGCAGTCACCTGTACAGCTTGTCCCAAAACTGTGGCCAGTGTCTTACTTGAGGTAGTGTCATGGGGTGGGCATAAGATGATATTTTTGTTTTTCCCCTTATAAAGTTATACTTGGGTTTAAACCTTTTCTTTGAAATATACTTTTATTATATAAACCAGGAAGGAAAAAAAAGACTAACATTAATTCATTTTGTAAAAATCCAAAGCGGAGAAAGTTGGATGTGTCTAAACTGTGTAATGTGATTAAGGAAGCGAAAGGAGACAGTGAGAAGCAAGAGACGGGTGGCATTCTGGGAACAGTAGGTGTGGAAGTGAAGTGTCACGGGTCTGTATACTAGAGGTGCCAGTTTTCTAATCTGCCAGGAGTTGTTTGATGCGTATAGCAATTTGTCTGCTAGACTAAGGTGACAGAATTTCTTTCTTCCAGGTCTTGCTAGTTGATGCAGTCTTTGGATGCATACTTATTTTTCCCCAAACAGACTGGTAGAGACAGTAGGAGTGGGAGAAATCTATTTGCTGTTGTGTCGACTCATGAAATTACAGCGCTCTGCATGACTTCAGGTGCAATTTGTTTAGCAACAGTTTAAGGCAAGTTAGTCTAATGTATTATGATTTGGCCTCCACATTTCTGCCCAGTAAAATGAGCAAAAATTTGCTTCTTAGAATCCTTCAAAATGAACTCATTTCTTTTCTGACTTAGAAATACAGAATCAAATAGGTTCAGATTTTTAAGAGCAAAAAACCTGTGTTCCTGTTTTATGCATGAAGGAAATCTGAGTAACCATGGTTCAGAATAAATGTAGCAGCCTGAGAAGTAGTCCTAAATTTTGTTTCATTTTTCAACTTTGAAATTGTTAATTATTTTCATTTTATTGGAAATGCAGGCAGAAAAAAGACAAAGACCTTTCATTTGCTGTTTCTCTTTCCAAATGCCTGCAGCATAGGGCTGGGCCAGGCTGAAGCCAGGAACCCGGGACTCAGTGGCTCTCCCATTGAGGTGGTGGGGGCTCTGGGGCTGGTGTTAGAACTCTCCCCTGCTGGCCAGTGGAGTGCACGTGGGCAGAAAGCTGGGGTTCACAGCAGAGCCGGAACGCTAGCCCTGGCTTCCCAGTGTGACCTGCGGGCGTGCCAAGTTGTGCCTTCACCACTCTGCCGAATACCCACCTCTAAAATTATTTAGCAGAAGAGATATTTTGATGACTTTAGGTATCATGTAAAGTTTCACTCAAAGTTCTGATTATATGTTAGGTAGAAGCAACTCTGAATCCTTTGATATAGGTGTTTAGTAGTTTCTTCAAGGATCCCAGGTACGTGTTCTTACCTCATTACAAAGCCAGTGTGGGTAAAACTTTCTTCCTCAAGGCAAACTGGCATGGCACTTCCCAGGGTGCAGCGTTTTGGCCTCCTGAGGAAGCAGACAGCACATCTGCCACATGTCCTCAGTGGGGCAATACCTTGCATGATTCCATGTAAGCCTTCCATTTGGGTGGACAGTTCTTCCGGGGTCGTTGCTCAGTGTGAGTCATCTGCGGTTGTTGACTGGATTTACCAGCATTCTGGGAATGAGAGGGACTTGGGCCAGCCTGATTTTCTGAATCCTGAATGACATGGTATCCAATGTTTAGTCTCATGGTTTGAGTTGGTGACATTTACTTTATAGATATACTTTATTTGCAAGACGTTTCCTGTTTCATAAAATGTTGTTTTCTCAAGTAAATTAGTTGGCTGGGTATCTTTTGGAAATCCTTATTCTGTGATGTTTAATGTACTAGTACAGAGGCCAGAAAAGAAACAAAGCAAATAGCTTTTAAAAAAGTGTGGAACACTTACATCTTGCCTTACCTGAGTACATTAATGTATCTACTGTGTGAAAAGTACACACACACCCTTACCGGGGCACCAACAAAAACCACACTCAAGGTTTTATTGCACAGTAGAGTTAATTATGGATAATGATAGTTTACCATGTAACTTTTTTTTAAAAAGCTAGAGGAAAGGATCATATGGATATTTTCACTATAAAGAGAAAATAAGTGAGGAGATAAATGTTTACCCTGATTTGGACGTTACCTGTACACTGAAAGGCCACATAATGTCCCGTAGATAACAACCATTTTTATCAGTTGAAAAGGAAAAACTGGATATCCTTAGTGTGATGTATATTCACAGTAGCTTGGTCCAGCAGAGTACACGTGGCTCAGATGAGGCACTGACAGGCTGCAGGAATGCTGGAGTCTGGGTTGTGAAGGAGAGCTTGTGGTGGCTCGGGATCCCATGTTCCTGTTTAGGATGTAGAAAATGGAATGGGAGGGAATGGGAAAAAATGGGAAGAAATTCAGGATATTAGAAAAATCATGGTCAGGGGCTGTGCAGAGGGATTGAATTTGGGAGGTGGGCAGAGACCCCCTTCTTTGATGTATGTGGAACACATAGAGAACCTTCTGCTCACAGAAAACAGGGAAGTCCAGAATGTGTGGAAGTCTTTGATCTCAGTCCAGAAGTGGACCTGGGGTCCGCTGTGAGTGAGCAGTGGCCACAGGGAGCTCTGAGGTGACTTCTTAGAGGTTGAAAAGGAGAACTAGAAAGAGGAAACTGTACTGCCTGAACAAGCCTGATTTGTGGGTTAATTGTGCCAAGGGAAAGTGAGTAGTGAGTTTGGACTGGTGCTAAGCTGCCTTGAGGGGTTGTAGAAAGTTCTGCGCTCCCTTCTACTTGCTAGATAGCCAGCTCAGCCTGAGCCCAGATACACCGGCGTACTCACACATGGAGAG